TTGGCTTCCTCGTTTTGGAGGACTTTTCTGTTCGACCGAGGCCGGGGAGGAAGGGACTAAGCGTCGGTTAAAGGGGAAGATCGTACCGACCTGCAAACGCATTAAGAGCAATGTCAGAAACAACTAAGTCGTAGATATCCAGTCCGGAAAATAGATCGAAACAATTACCCGACTGAATACGAGCGACGGCTTGGTGAATCTGCTCAGCGGGAAAATTCTCGGGCCACCATTGGTATTGCTACGAGGCTAATCGGTCCCGCAGATCGGCGAAACCGTCCAGAAAGGCACGAAGGGGAAGGTGCCGAGCTGCGAGAAAACAAGTTATACATTGATCTGTTAACTCAAACAGAATACGAGAGGAGAATTGGTACCAATGTCAACGTTCCACCCYGATCGGATCGGCCAGTCRAGATTTCRAACCGAAYCTCGGTCAATCTTCARGAAGAAGTAACGAGCTTCCCAATTGGCGGTCTTGTTCCCCGGGGGACAAGCCAGAAGAACGTTCTTCAGGCTGAGATAGAATCGACTGCTCCCGACTTTTCCTAGTCGGTTAAGCTTCGTCAGTTCCTCGAGGGTGTTACAGCACACCCTCTTACCAAGCTCGGCCGCCACGACTAGCACCCCGACCAAGTTGCGAATCGCCGCGACAGATAGCTGCGATATGGCGATCTTCCGCCGAGCACAGTACTCGACTAAAACTCTTGCAAGGGGGAACCACAACTTTCCCTCGTAGAAGAAGGAATCGAGCAGACACATAAACCCCGGAGGAGGTGTCCAGGGACGATCATCCTTCAGCGGAACGTGAAACACGACATTTGAAGGAACACCGTACGAGCTCAAAGAGCATCGAGCGTGCCCTCGCCCGACTGCGTCGGCAGGTCGTCTTTGGGTTGGGGGAAGATCCCATTCCCAAGCCCGGGACCAAGACAACGATCGTCGTCTTCCAGTTCGAACTGAGCAGTCTCATACTCAGGATCAGTCGAACTGGGAGTCAGGGCTAAACTCTTCCCAGCTCTGGAGGCGCTTACAACCTGGGGTCGTGGAACCGAGCTCGTCAGAGGACGGGAAGTCGATCCAGGGGATCGTCCCGAGCTAGAAGCGGCTCCACCCCGGTTTGAAGAAGCTCCTCTATTCTTCCTCACCAGTGGTATTGAGTCGACAGTATGCTCGCTGGATGAT